ATTAGAAATCCCTTTATACATTTTCACTAATCCATCTGGGGTAAAGTACCAATGATACATTATTTCTTTCAAACTGTAATAAATTTTAATTTGTCCATACATTCTCCCATTTATCTAGCATTATATTACATCATTTTTTTGCCCATTTTACCATATATACTTTAACATATTCACCTTCCAGATTCATCTTGAGTAATATTTTATATGCTTTAATAATAAAGTGGTCATCTCCAGAATATAAATTAATGTCTAGTGCAGATTTAGTTCCTGTGAAAAGAACTTTCTTTTTATCAAATTTAAATATTTCAAAAATTCTATAATAATTAAACTAATCACAACCAAATCCTTCATTTACTAATTGTTTCTTGTCTTTATCTTGAATCCCTCTTTTTCAAATATCATCATCTCTGTTCTATGTAGTGCTCCATGAGGTGATAACCAAAATGGCATTTTATCAGCTAATCTTTTGTACTTCCACAATACACATACAATTGATTGCCTAATATGAATCTTAAAACCATGGTTAACTTTTACTTACCTCTCCAGCAGCCTACATCCAAATAAGCAGGAATTAACATCAAACAATGAAACAGAAAATAATACCCTCACCAAAGAACTGGGAGAAAATCATATGCCCAATATTGGCAGGGCAAATTACTGGTAATCCTCAACTTATGAATTGAGACCACACTTTCCATTGTTAAGCAAGGCAGTTGGTAAGTGAGTCAAGCCCAATTTTACAACTTTACAATTTTACAACAAAGTGGCTTCCCCAACTTTGTTTGTCAGAAGCTGGTAGCAAAAGTTACAAGTGTTGATCGTATGACCTGAAGACAATGCAACCATCATAATTACTTGCCAATTGCCAAGCACCAAAATTTTGATTACATGACTGTGGGGAGGCTACAATGGTTGTGAGTGTACCGGTTGTAAATCACTTTTCTCTGAGCAATTTCCTATTCATTCCTTAAGGGAGGGAATTGTGGGATTCTGTACAGGTAGCTCTGGCATTGGGTTAAATTCTTGGCCAGCAACTACTCTAAAAGGGGTGAAACTAGGAAATGGCCACTAAAGATCACTAAAGAAATGGTTGTACATGGAGGACTACTTGTACTGTTACTATCCATAAATAAGGATCAAAACCCTGCACACTGGCATTGATAGTGTTAATGATCAATGATGTCAGGTAATGAAATGTCTCTAAGCAAAGAACCAAACTCAGAGAGCACTAAAGACTCTACATTTCAACCCTGAGTTACAGAAATTCCCTTCTATTGGATCACATATTAAAATGAAGAAATTGGATTTTGCAGTGTTTCCTATGTGATAAATTGTTGATGTTGTTTCATTTTTTTCAACAACTATAATATTAATTTCATTTGAATTCTTGGTCTAAAGTCAAAGATGGATACAATTTCTCCAGGAATGCCTTGGTGTAGATGTGTCTCTCATTTCTGCTGCTTCTAAGGTTAAGAGTATCAAGTTGGGAAGGAGTGAGGAACGGAAGGAATGAAGGGATGGATGCAGGATGGAGAGAGGGGAAGAAAAATCAACAATAAGCATGTTTTCTGCCAAAATGCCAAGAATGAATAGACAATAGATTGTGGATTGTGGATTTATTTATTTGTCAATTGCTTACAATATAATAGGTATATTATATTTTATTGGATACATATCAGAAAAATATAAAATATATAAAATATATATAAGAAACAATAGGACAGGGACGGTAGGCACGTTGGTGCGCTTATGCACGCCCCCTACATACCTCTTAGGAAAGGGGTGAGGTCAATAGTAGACAGTCTAAGGTTAAAGTTTTTGGGGTTTGGGGAAAAAAACTACAGTCAGATAAAGTATTCCAGACATTGACCACTCTGTTGCTGAAGTCATATTTCCTGCAATCAAGTTTGGTGCGGTTAACCTTGAGTTTGTATCTATTATTTGCTCTTGTATTGTTATGGTTGAAGCTGAAGTATTATTCATTGACAGGACATTGCAATGTATGATTTTATATACTATACTTAGATCGGACCAGAGGCGGCGTAGTTCTAGGTTTTCTAGGTCTAGAATTTCGAGTCTGGTGGCATAAGGTATTCTGCAACAAGTAGAGGAGTGGGGAACTCTTCTTGTGAAATATTTCTGGATTTTCTCAACTGTGTTAATATCAGATACGTAATGTGGGTTCCAGACTGATGAGCTGTATTCAAGTATTGGTCTAGCAAATGTTTTGTGTGCTGTAGTTATTAGTGTAACATTACCAGAGAAAAAGCTACGTAAGATTAGGTTAACAACTCTTAACACCTTTTTGGCTATGTAGTTACAGTGGGCTCTAGCACTTAGATCATTTGAGATGAGTACTCCAAGGTCCTTGACAGAGTTTGGATCATCAGCAAGTCTTGACTATTCAGCCTGTATTTTATTTTGATATTTTTTTTGCCAATATGTAGGACAGAACATTTATTTGTTGAGATTTGAAGTTGCCATTTGTTTAACCATTCTGATACATAGTTGAGGTCTTTTTGAAGGGTAGCAGTATTGTCTGTGGTGTTGAATAGCTTTACATCATCAGCAAAGAGAACGCAGTTGCTCTTGATATGATCACAGAGGTCATTTATGTAGTGTATGAAAAGAGTTAGTCCTAGACTAATAGACCAAGGACAAACAAAAGATAAACCAAGATTGCATATGACACCTGTAGTAGCCTAATGCTGTACTAGCCTAAACCCACCTATCCAATCTGAGTCAAAAACTAACACAAAGCACTTTGGAGCAGTCAATAAGCCCCAGAAAGATCAAGGTCCATGCTACAGTTTTAAGAGAAAGGGTTTTAGTGGGGTAGCTAGCTTTAGAAGTTTTACGAGAGTTAAGAAAAAAATCTCCTATGATGATAGAGCTATTTGAATTGTCATCATGAAGTGTTCATCTGAAAATTTCCAGGGCAGCCCTTCTTGTCCTGTATATCTGCCTGACCGTGTCCAGAAATGGGTTGGCTGAAGTCAAAAGTACACTGGACCAGAATTGTCTCTGGGGCTGTGGAGCAGCAGTGGCCTTGGGTCTGGTGGCAACAGAGAGTGTCTTGGTGGGCTTGAAACATTTGTCTAATGGTGTAGAATAGTGTCCCCTGTGGGAAGGGTGAGGCAGTGTTCTGGCAGGAAAGTGTTCTGTGGTAAGAGGCCTTGGAACTGTCCTAGTGGAGACGTTTTGTAAATGTTGGGCAGAGAGCAGTGAAAGGAGGAGCTTCAATTTTGACAAAAGTGAGTGGGTAAACAAAGGAGGGGGGCCTTCTTTTTGGAGAGTGAAGTAGGGAGGAAAATACCCTTGGGCTGCATGCTGCTCCACAAAATGGCTATTTTTTTACCTTTTAAACTCATTTCCTATTGCAGCTTCTCTTCCACCTTTCTTGTTGCACTTTGCTGTCTCCTGACCTGCTACTCTCACTTTTGCTCTTGTTCTCTATCCCTGCCGTAGTTTATGAAATCCAAATTGCTAAACATAGAATATTTTTGTCCCAAGGGTTATTTTTCAAAAGACAACTGGATTTTCTTTTTTCTTTCTTTCTGTTTCGCTTGTCATCCACAAGCTTAGTTCCATTGAAGAAGCATCTTGGATGAGAAGCAAAATGTCTTCAAGTAAAACAAACAAACAAGGAAATCTAGTTGCCTTTTGCAAAAGCACCTTTGGGATAACCATGACCTAGATGAATAAGAATCTCCATAGATATCAGATATTTTTCTACTGAACTTTATTTATGCACCACTATTGAGAAATGATAAATATTTTTCTGGAAGTTGGGGTTTTTAAAAGAGATATCTAAGAGTTGATATAAATTATCCATCACAAAATCATGGTTTATCCACTTTATCTGCTTATATTAATGAATATATATTGAAGACTAGATGAACAATTATCAATCTGTCCCTAGTTCTTTGAGGAACATTAAAAATTATTTTAATAGTTTTAAAATTTTTCCCACTTAATTATACATCATTTGAAGTTTTTTTTAATACTTTGATTAAATTAAGTTATATCACAAGCATTCCGACAATCTACAAGGCACCCTGCACCAAGAGGCTGCGCCTGCGCACCAAGTCTCATCAAGACTCATTTCTGGTGGAATTTTGGGGAGAGAAAGAAAGACTTCTACTGCTTCTGCTGTTTTCCTTGCATGAAGCCAAAGGTCTCCCTCTCCCTCTCTCCTCCTGAGAATGGAGCTGGAGACGGTATTCTGCGATCCCAAATAAAAAATGAACTTTACGAAAACAGGGTGGGGAATTTTCCTGCAGACTTTTTGGGGGGATTTTCCCAGGGTCTCTGGTCCATAGGATTTAAAATTATGAGTTTGGTGGTCCCTGAGGTTCAAAAGGTTGGTGACCCCATCTTAGTTGGAACAGGGCAGGATGCAGCACTCTTTCAATAACTGAAAGATGTTACCCAGATCTTAAATTTAGGATATGCTCGCTCTTATTCCAGAGTATCGAACATGGAAAAATGAATTCAGTTACAGGACAGATTCTGGCTGAACAAGAGGAAACACATCCCAAAAAGAGGAGTGGTTTTAGAGCTGAGCCAGTAAGTGAGAGTTCACTCTTCCCTTCGCAGATTGTCCTAATGCAAAGATTGAGCATCCATCAATCAGAAAAACTGGGGTTCTGGCAGGGAGGAGGGGTTAAGCTAGAACAGATAGTCTCAGGAGCTCCTTCAAATTTATGGAAGTAAAATTCTAGATTGCTAATCAGGGATTCTTGGTGCTCTCTGAGTTTGGTTATTTTCTTTCTTTAACCAAACAAAATAACATTGCTGGGACCTTTCAGACCTCACCCCACCCCACCCCAACTATCTCCATGCTTAGTAGAATATGGTCCAAACTCGCTGAAGCAGCGAGTTAAATCTTCCTGAGGAGAGCTCAGGTGATTCCCTGATGCTCCATCACCAATCGGACTTTTTTAAATTTATCTCGCGCTGGCTGACACAAGACCTTTGCCCGCCCCTTCGACATCTAGAGAGTCCTGAATTTAGTTCAGCAATTTGCGTGAAAAGGCAGAGGAAGAGGGAGTTGGACTTAGGAATCCAGAAGAAAGCTTAGTTTCTGCTCTTCGTCCGCTCCGAGCGAGGATCTGTCTCGCGGAACCGAGGCGCTTTCGGCGGCCCTGACCCTCTGCCAGGAGGAGCGGGGAAGGAGGTGCTTGATCGGGCGGTGCCTGGGGCTGGAGGAAGTTTTGCACTTGGGCTGCCGAGTGGGGAGACCGAGAGGAGCGCCTCAGGGTGAGGGCGAGAACGGAGCGCGGAAAGGTTGGATTCGAACCCATCCTGCGTCCAGGTCCCTTCACCCAGCCGCGCGGCAGTTCCTTTCCCTTCAGCTGCCCCCAGCGCCGGCAGGATGGGCGGATCGAGCTCCAGTTTGCTGGACGAGAGCAAGTGCACTTACATCCGAGGTACGGCGCCCACAGCCTTCACTCGGCGCGCGTTTGCGCGGGCGAGTCCGATGCCAAAAGTTGAGGGAGAAAGAGAAGGAGCTTGGCCAAGCGGTCGGGGAAAGGGGCGAGCGCGCGCGTGGTGGGCTTGTTTGGGCTAGCAAGGGGTGACGCGCGGGAAAAGTTTGTAAAGCTGTCGCTCCGTGCTTGAGAACCGGGCCGGTGCCTGCAAGCTTGCGAAGCGCTTTCAAGTGCTGCGAGCCGAGAAGAACGCGGGGCTTTCCCGCCCAGCCCCGATGGTCGGTCGCCGCGGGATGAAGTTGTCACACATCACTTGCCATTCAGCCAAACAGCTGCTTGAGTGAAATCCGTTACTAACAGCATACGTGGCGGTTGAGGCGCGTAAACTTTCGGGTCATTCTCTTTGAACTTGATGGGGTTTGCTTCAAGTCACCCCGGACATGTGACTGAAGGGCTGAGCGCCTACTGCCCAACGGAGGCAAGCCACGTGTAGCGGAGTCCTATGCACTGCTAAAGCCTTGGGGCGTCCTGGACTGGCAGCAATGAATGGGTCACACGTTGTATTTTAAGGATTTCCTCGGACCGAACAATAGAAAGCAGAGCTGCTTAACTGGGAAGAGGGCTGCTGTTTTTACAGGCAGCTGCTAAAGTGGGAAAAATATTTAGGGCCTGTAACAGCTGGGAAAAAACAGGAGAATGGGAATTGTGCTAGATAGTCTACCAGGAATGTAGCCCTGGCTTGTTCTTCCCACGGAGGAAGAAATTGCTTAATGTTTATGGAGATTTTCAGTCATCCAGGTCATGGTTGTCCCAAAGGTGCTTTTTCTTTGCAAGAGGCAACTGGACTTTCTAGTTTTTCTTTGAAGACTTGCCTCTTCTCATCCAAGAAGCTTCTTCAACAGAAAGTCCAGTTGCCTCTTGGGGAAAAAAAAGCACCTTTGGGGATGAACAGTTTGCTTGTGATTTCCTGAGAGAAGAAGGGGCTGTCAGTCAGTCATATAATAAAGTTCCTGAACTTTTCAAAGGTGGTTTTAGAAACTTTTGCCTGGATTCCAAATCTACAGGACTCTTGCTGATTATTAAGGTAGATGAATCTGCTCCTTAGGTTGATAACATTTGTAAAAGTATCCCACAGGCTCTTAAACAGGGTTGCCAGGTCGCAGCTTGGCTCTGCGGCCAAACTCAAGTCAAAATATGGCCAAATTCAGCCAAATTATTTTCTCTCACGGCCAAATTTTCTTGCCAAATTTTTTTATGCAATATAACATGAGGATATATTGTTTTTTTTGTTTTTCTTAACTGTTTTTAAATAATCAAATCATAAAAAATAGTCTTTATTCGACAACGTGATGTGACGTCATGGGAATTTCTGCATTTCTTTACTCATATCCAGGCTAGGCAGCTCACTTCAAATAACCGCTACTACTATTTGGAAAGCTCAGGGCCAAATGCAGCGATCCTGAGGAGGGGGGAGCTAGGGCATGAGGGTTTTTAGGGGGATTCCCCCCGATTGAAAAAATATAATCACTAAACAAATAAAAACACAAAAGTAGCAATTATATATAGAATCCTTATGAAAACTGAATGCTCAATAACCATGTTTTCAAAAAGAGAGGAATTATCCCAATAATTACATGAAAACAAAGAGTACTTCTAATGTAGCAATGTGAAGAAAGAAAAAGGTAAGGCTTCCGCTTGCTAATATACATGCGGTGTTCACATACACATTACACATAGCTGCCTTACCATACATGCAGAGTACACAATGCGTTTAGCTAGCTTACATGTACCACAGGCATATTCTCTCGGGCGCACATCCAGGATTTTCCATGACGCTGCGCGCTGGCTGGCGAGAAAATCCAATACTAAGATGTTTACTTCCGGGTTATCATCTGCTTATATTACGCAGCACTGTTCACAGTCAGAAGGCTCCGGCCTGTGTATCGCGTCGTTTTTCAGAGGTTTTCAGACGATCTGACAGTCATTTTCATGTGAATATATTGTATTGAAAACCGGTATTCGGCCAAAATTTCGATTTCACAGCCAAGCAACTTTCATACGGCCAAATTTCCAGCCAAATATATTTGGCCGGAGACATGATTTTTTTCACGGCCAAACAGATTTCTATACGGCCAGATTTCTCAAATTTGGCTGGAAAAACAGCCAGATAGCAACTCTGCTCTTACACATAAACACATTGGGAGAAGCAAAAGGGGGGAAAATAAAGATCTTAAGTGGCTCTGGATGCAGGAATATCACCAAAGCCCTCAAATATGCTCCTAATTAGTCAAAGAGTTCAAGCAAACTAATAAGTTTGGGGCCGAGGGGGAATCAGGAGTGGCAGAAACACAATTTCTTCTTGATTTGTATCCCCTGACTTTATTGAGGGGAGCAAGTACCGGTACATGCAGCCACTATACTTAGTACTAGATTGTATGTGGTTCAAGTTGTTCTATTAGAAATTGAACTTGTAGTCACTGTGCTTTAAACAATTGAATTTATAGGTCACTGTGCTTTTTACACCATCCCTATACAATGCACTCAGCTTGTGTAAATCTACAGAGTAGAAATATGGAACTTCTATGATTATTCAGTTAGATGAATCTAATAAGATAAGATATAGCTTTATACCACTAGTCCAGGAGTTCAAATAAGGATGGTGCATACTACTATAAATTATTTTGTGACATAATAGTGTCAGAGTTAGAGCTTCTGTTACTAAAAGACAGGTGAACTGAATGAATCCAACTGAGAGATTGATTTGCTGAAACTCAGATTATTTTAAAGAACTGACATTCTCATAAATTATGTCAGGCCCATAAAATATTTAGAGGTATAACCTCCATAAAGCAAATTCTGCTACAATTTCAGCAGAGCATGCTAAATTTTAAAATAGCACTTGAAACTATTCTTGCACAATTAATTCTAGATAGAGATTCACGAACTAACTTTCTAAGATTATTGACTGAATCTGGAAGACCTTCGGCAAGGCCTTTCATGAAATAGCTGTTACCAAACAACAGACAGAAGTTTATGTTGGTTCCCTGCCTAGTTGCTGAAAGAGATCTTTGTATGTATGGACATCCATGTGTGAAATATAACACTCCTTTTATTCTTACATTTTAGAATTGCAGGTAGCCCAAAATTTCTGTGACTAAATGAAACAGTTAAGTGACTTTTGCTTTATTTTATGACCTTTCTTTCTACAGTTGTTACATGAGTCACTGCAGTTGTTAAGTTAGTAACATGGTTGTTAAGTGAATCTGGCTTCCTCATTGACTTTGTCAGAAGATCACAAAAAGTGGTCGCATTATCCCGGAAACTGCAAATGTCATAAATGTAAGTCAGTTGCCAAGCAACTGAATTTTTATCACATGGCCATGAGGATGCTACAAAGATCATAAGTGTGAAAAAGGGTCATAAGTCACTTTTTTCAGTGTCATTGGAATTTTGAATGGTCATTAAATGAGCTGTTGTAATTTGAGGACTACCTGTACTATAATTTAAATGCACACATCATTTGAAAAACCTATTTACAACAGTTCTTTAAACTTGACCAGTCTGGAGGTAAGATAAGTCTTCTTAAGAGCCCCGAAAGGATCCATATCATGGCTATTGCATGTGGTTTGGGGGTGATTAGCCAGGGACTGCACTGAAAACACATAGGGGAGCAGACAAAATAAAATGTTATGTTATTTTGTTTTTCATAATTAACTATTGTGGATAAATAGGTGTGTGTTCAGGCTTGTGAATGATAGTGATAGTGATCTTCGTTTAAAGCTGTCAAAGGATTTGCAGTGAGATTTAAAAAAAATCAAAATATCTTTGATAAAATGAATTTCATGCAAAAAAAAAGTGTGAAGAATGGGTTAAAAACAGTAGAAACTGAAATATACAATTTAAGTTGTTGCTTCTATTTGGAACGTTGTGTACAACATCTCTGATTGTTCCAAGATGAAGAGTGTCCTGCAATTGGAAAAAAACCATTAAAATAATCAGTTTTCTCCATAAAAAACAAAGCAAATAATTTGTTTTTCAGGCTTCTTAGTTCGGGGAAGGAAGAAAGGACACAAAGAGAATTATAAGAAGTGATGGTGAAGGTAGAGAAGTTTTTAACCCTTCCATAATCATGATTGGAGGCCACCCAGTTAAATTGAGCAGCAGATGATTCAAGATGTCTTTTTTCTTCTTTATATAACCAAAAGCCATGTACCTTCCAAAAGATGTGGTGATATAGTATTTAATTTTGATGGATTTAGAAAAGAATCAGATATAACTACTGGCAATATTTGTATCACCAGTAATTATCCACATTAGCTCTGGAAATGCTCCATATTTAGAGATAACTCTATCATCTGTTTGGAGAAGCTGTGAAGGGAAATTGTGTAAGAATATCAGAATGACAGAGTTGGAAGTGACCTTGGAGATCAATCTAGACCAACCCATTGCTCAAGCAAGAAATCCTAAACCATTTCAAACAAATGGTTGTCCAATCTCTTCTTAAAAACCTTCCGTGTTGGAGCACCCACAATTTCTGGGGTCAAGTTGTTCTGCTGATTAATTGTTCTGTCAGGAAATTTCTCCTTTATTTATTAGAATGTTACATAGATTCTGATCTATTGGGTTCTTGGTGTTATCTGAGTTTGCTTTTTTTGCAGATGTTTTATGACCAGGGTAGGAACATTCTGGTGCTAAAGACTTTCCATAGCCTAGTCATGTAATGTCTGCAAGAACAGAACCAAGTTTGGAAACTCCAAGAACTCAATAACTCAACCCTGAGCTTTTGTATTCACCACAATTAGAAATACCTTGCTGAAGACTCTGGAAGACAGTTGAGTACAATAGGATTTCTCAACTTTTCTCACATACCTTTATTATATCAATTATGCCACTTATATCAATTATGTAAAAAGGGGAGATTTGAATAGTTTTTTATTTTGCACAGATATGGTTATGGTTAGCTTTGGAGGAGTCCTTACAGGGGCGTGTATCTATTCAGC